CCCATTTACATAATAATGACTTTAAACTTATTCATGTCATGCACAGGTTTATATACTGTGCCATTATCAAAGTAGTTGAAGACCTTCATTACTTGGTACATTCGTCTCTCCTACTTGATAAATAATGGTGTGACTTTGCTATCTTCAGTCAATTGTTGCAATTTTTAATTTAGGTCTTGAATATATCATAGGGTTTCTATGCTAGGGACAACCGCCACATTTTTAGTTTGTTTTTTGTTTTACTACAATGTATATATAGTTTGGGTCTTGGAGTACTGGATTTGTTATCAAAATAAATACAAGTCACACATCTCAATATACAGATAAACATTGGTTTTATTTGAATTTAGACTTTATTTTGGGATGTCTTTCAATATATCTAGTTTCAGATTAAATTAGTGTTTACTATAGACTGTAGTTTTCAGACTATAATTAGCATATACACGTATGTGGAATGTAAGTGGCACCACAGAATGGTGAGTGAAATTGTCCATTTACAAGAACTCTCATGCCATGGGTAAAATGTATACATCTGACATTGAAAACAATATAATTCAATAGAAGTCTGTTTAATGCTAAACGAATGTTTCTAAAAGTATTATGGACATGTTCGAATGTCTTCCTTATTAGGAAAATGTCTGTATACGCCACGTTTGAACACTTTCATTTATTCACATTACAATGTAGATGTAGAAGTGCTTGTGATGGAAATATAATCATGTCACAGTTCTTCACTCAGTGCAAAACATATTTTTTTTTTGCTATTTTGGGCTGTTATATCTAATTAACTTATTATTACAAGTTGGAAAAAGACGTATAATAATATTGTCATCCTGAGAATTCCACAAATTATGCACTCAACTACATGTAGTACAGGAATGCAACAACCTCTGCTACGCGTCAGTTGATACTACCGGTACTTTATTCCTTTTGTGCATAACTTTGCAGTATTCTTGAATAACCTCATACTAGTATTTTACCTCGGTAGACGCTAATGACCCACATAGGAAATATGTGTGTTCAGAGTTGGAATACAGTCATGCAATAAATTCTAATATTGTGTCATTATAATCTTTATTATTATACATCTGTCACTGTAATGCCATAAGTTACAGCGTGCCGTAATTTTGCGGTATTTTACAGGTATTTTCATCCTACCATATAAGGAAATGCCAATTCCAAATATGGAATGATTATGCACGTAAGCGTCCTCTAATGATAAAAACAAACATGGCTGCCACCAGGGTTTGACCGGACTCCGCTCAAAGAAGTTTGCTAAATCTGTTCTAAACTTTTTGGATTTCTTCATACCCATGGTGTATCCTTGGAAGGAAAAGATGTATAATAATAAGGTTATTAAGAAGATATCTCAAAGTATGCACTCAGACAGTACGCCGTTGCATCGACCTCCGCTGCACATCGGCCGATACTCCCGCTGTACTGTCTTTGTGCATACTTTGAGGTATTTCTGTAATAACCTTATAATCGTAAATCTGTTTCAATATGTGTGCTTCATGCATGTAACCATTTACACATCAGTCAGTTCAGGTTGAAAAGTTCTGTATTTTTCATTTTTCTGTCCTGCAACAAGCTCAATTTCATGAATAATATAACTAGTCCTTTTCATGTAATGGTCTGAAAATTAGAATAGTAATTTTTCTGTTCATGACTATTTGTTTTATTGAAATTTATAAATAACTATAAAATGATTTTTGTACAATAATGTATTCAGTAATTTTGGTGATTTGACTCAATACATAAATATGTGGCTGATCGGTGGCCATTTTTTTTCAACTTGTCTAGGTTGAATAATTTTCAACGTTCGAAGCCTCTCAGTTAATTCCTGATTGCATGTTAGACCATAACAATTACTAAGACTATTTGATTTAAAATCAACGCTGAAGTATATCGGTATAAAATGTTCAGGTCAAATGTGGTCATCCGACTGTCATTCAAACCTTATAAGCCCATTATATTAATGAGTGGCCGTATTTATTGCAGATACATACATGTAGCACTATACATTAAACAAATTAGAAAAGTGTTTCTAACAAAAGCACCACCGATAGTAAAATAAATTTCACCCTACCTCACAATACTCAAACTTATTAGAGAGAATGTTTTACCAGTATGTGTAGTTTTAGTATGATTACTTGGAAACCCTCAAGCCTTTTTTGCAGATCATGCTATCATTGCAATGTATGATTGATTAAGCACTTAAAAATATACAATTATATGTGTACAGAATACAGATATTACACTATTCGATCAAAATGTCTGTTTATTGGATTCTTGCATGTGTGTATGTACAAATAAATATGCAATGTGTGTATGTATTAATTTATATTAATAGTAATTCTTCTCGTGTACATGGAGATTTTGATTGATTGTAATGTACATGTTGTATTCATATTTCTGTTTAATAGACATAATTTACATGTCAGATGTCAATGTAGTGTTATTACATCACAACTCCCAAGACATGCCTGTTCACTCCATGGTTTGTGGTTTCAGAATTATTTGAATAAATAATTTGCATGACGATACGCAATTTTCGAGTGTTTTGTGTACATGCAGAGTTTCATGCGATAATGATCAACATGAAGTGGCTGTGGGATCTTTTCCACCAGTCTAAGGAGTCAAGTGGGAATAGCAGTTCTGGAAATTCTGCATCATATGCATTTTTGGTATATATAAATAGGGGAGTTGAAATGTGTTTTTTTTTGGGGGGGGGGGGTTGAAATAAATAACTATCGGTATAGACCAATTACTGTAGAATACTTTATTTTCTCTTAAATATAAAATAAAATCCAGCGAATATACTTTTTTTCCTATATTTCACATTAAACTCATCAAAAATCAGTGAAAATAAAATTCCACACAAAACGCCGAAAAGCCTTTTCAGCGAAAATTACTTCCAGCGAAAATAAAGTATTTCACAGTATGTAGTAAAGTTGGTCCTACCCTGACCAATATCAACTTAGATAATAAATAATAGCTAATTTACTTGCTAAGACATGCAAGTCTGTTGTCAACCAGTACAACATCTAATGATTGCGATGTTATGCTAATGTTCTCCAACTAATGTGATGTTAGAGTAATGACCCTGCGTCATCTACATGTACATGTCTAATAATAATTATTCAAATCTATTTCTGTGATTCGACAATGTAATGTCTCATTCCAAAAATATCCAAAACTGTTGAAAAAAAGAATAAATTATCTGGCTTATCTTTTCTCTGTGGGAGAATCTGATTTTAGCAAAAGTTCTAGTAACTCCTGAATTACTGACAGACACGTTGTAATTATTTTGTGCATACGCTACCTATCTAGCAATGGGCAAAGTGGGGACAAAAATATAAAAAGCCAAAAAAGCAATAGACAGACAACCCTAGAAGAAGTCAACAGCATATTTGAAAGAGTTGAATGTGGGTGTGTATAAAAGGGAGCAGGTAGAAGAACTACTGTATAAAAGACAGCTGAGAAACATGTATTACCAGTTGAAACAAAACATTTTTTAGAGAAAAAGAGATTGTATGTGTGTGTTTTACAGAGTAAATATGACCATGACATAGTTTTTCAACTCCCAAAATAACTGCAAAAATTATGAAAATATTATGCTATACGGTAATCAAAGATAATTTGCATGCTTGGGCAGAATTGTGAGCACATTTTCTGAGGCTGATAGTTACAAGATGATGGCACTTTTATTTGGGGGGTTTTGTACGTACTGAGTTGGAAACACAGCCGAGCAGTGTGCCGCAACTCAGCACATTTGGAACATTCCAAATCTGTTATACCTTCCGGTTCATTGACCTCCGGTAACGTGATGTACGCAGTTGTATAAATAATAAACACTTCTAATTCGGGAATCAAGAAATGATATTATTTTTAATGATAATCTATTGGTTTAATGGCCGTTGAGGATGAACTCTGATAATACACTTTTTTAGCCCAAAAACCTCTAAACTTAATAAATTTTGCAAGTTATTGAAATTTTGTTGTAGTGAAAATGTTTATGGGTGTTTGGAAATGTAGCAGGGAAAATAAAATGTTTACAATATACAGGATTTGTGCTTTTAAATTGTCCACAATTTTGCTTGGAAGCCCTGTTCATCCTTTGAACAGATGAGCTGTCTGTAATTCTGTACATTTTAATAATGAATATGCACTTTATATTTATGATAAAAGTTCAGAAATTCGGTCAACGTAAATATGATTATTTGCCCATAAGCATGGATTTTGTAAAATGCACATGGAAGGTACAATAACACAATGAGTATATTTCTAAATTATGTTATCGGTATGTTGTATTACCCAGGTATACCTCAAACCTGGTTTTATGAATATTAATTCATAATTTATTTATTATTGCAGCCTGTAATATTAGAGGATTATAGTGATCCTGCTGACGTCAGGAAAGCAGCCGCTGAAGATGCACGAAGGTTTGACGTAGTAACGGATGGTGCCCAAACCGGGAATATCTATGATGAGGGTGATTACACTGAACCTTATGAGGCACAGAAAATATTGCAACGTAAGTATCCATTTATTCCATGTACACTTTATTACCTTGCATATAGTGTTATTTTCCCAGCGTAGTTTTATTTTTTCATTTTGCAAAAAAAAATATTCAGTAAAATACAGACAAAACACCTTACTTTATGTAAATGCAGACAGAAAACAATTCAGGTACATACAGAAACACGGATCTGTGCACCCAAATATCTCCATGTTGACCTTGTTTACAGTGCCCTCTATCCACCACATAGGGCAACTGTATAAATACAGTAACAGTGGTATTAAATTTGTAAAAATTGTACTCTGACATTTTCATAAAATTGTATTGACTCCCGTGTGCGAAGCACAAAAAAGGAGTATTTGCAGTTAGTGTGTCTGTCTGTGTGTGTGTGTGTGTCTGTTCCACTGATATCTCAAGAACCATACATTAATTTTTTATGAAACTTGGTGCATAGATGCTCTAGGCCAATGCACAGATTTGATTGGGTTTTGGTAAAAATTTGTGCAATATTAATTACCAAATTTGCATAATGATTAATCAATTTTCGGCTTTTCCACTGATATCTCAAGTACTAATCATCACATTTCAATTAAACTTAGTACATAGATGTCATAGGACACTGCACAAACCTGATAGTTTTTAGGGTAATATCAGTACATATTAATTACCTAATTTGCATTATTAATTCAATTTCAACCTTTGATATTTCAAGTAGTAATCATCACATTTCAATGAAACTTGATAGATAGATAGATGTCATAGGACACTGCACAGACCTGATAGTTTTTAGGGTAATATCAGTACATATTAATTACCTAATTTGCATAATTAATTAATTTTCAGCTTTTGATATTTCAAGTAGTAATCATCACATTTCAATGACACTTGGTACATAGTTACTTAAGGACTGTGCAGACCCCTGATTAGTTTTTGGGGAAATATTTGTGCATATTAATTAACTTATTAGCATAATTAGTTAATTATCATCTTTTTGCCTGATATCTAAAGTACTAATCATCATATTTCAATGAGACTTGCTACATAGATATTCTAGGACTATGCAGAGACCTGATTAGTTTTAATTGTATATTAATTACCTAATTTGCATAATGTTCCACTGATATATAGAACCACGAATTGGATTTGAATGAAACTTTTAAAGAGAACTATGCAGAGACCCAATTAGTTTTTGGTAAATATTTATGCTTATTAATCACCTAATTAACATAATTAATTAACACTGATATCTCAATTACTGATCATTACATTTGAATAAAATTTGGTACATAAATGCTCAATAGGACAATAGACAGGCCTGATTAATTTTGGGTTAAAATTTGTTCATATTAATTCTCTAATTAGCATAATAATTTATAATTATTTTGTTCTGTTCATATTAGTTACCTGATTTACATAATTAGTTTTCAGCTTTTCCATCAATATCTTATGTACAAGTAATTTTGAATTAATTTTTAATGTGTCTTCAATACTCTCAGCACACGGGAGTTCTTTCTAAGCTTTCTTTGATTGGGTTTGTGAATACTTGTATTATGTGAAATTATATCTGGTAGGAAGTATGTAAAATACATTTTATTCTCAATGCATGTATGAGTGATCCCGTTTGACTGTGTGTTTGAATTTTCATTTGAATAGTGTTTCAACTAACATTGATTCACAAAGATTTAATGTTATTGAGAAATTCCTGGTGCATTGACCATTACTTGCATGTGATACTATTACTGAACAATCCATTGTTACATTGACCATTACTTGCATGTGATACTATTACTGAACAATCCATTGTTACATTGACCATTTCTTGGATGTGATACTATTACTGAACAATCGATGGTTACATTGACCATTTCTTGGATGTGATACTATTACTGAACAATCCATGGTTACATTGACCATTTCTTGTATGTGATACAGTTATTGAACAATCCCTGGTTACATTGACCATTACTTGCATGTGATACTATTACTGAACAATCCCTGGTTACATTGACCATTTCTTGGATGTGATACAGTTATTGAACAATCCCTGGTTACATTGACCATTACTTGCATGTGATACTATTACTGAACAATCCATGGTTACATTGACCATTTCTTGGATGTGATACAGTTATTGAACAATCTCTGGTTACATTGACCATTACTTGCATGTGATACTATTACTGAACAATCCATGGTTACATTGACAATTACTTGCATGTGATACTATTACAG